AACTAAGACGGCATCTGTCTTGTCAGCTAAGAGGCCATGTTTAGAGGATGTGCAGTAGAGCAATGACTCGGGATGATGCAACCCCTGGGGCACGCGCAGTACAACGGGGTGGACGACGCGCTTATCTGAAGGGTAACATCACCCTCTCAGAGCATCACAGTAGAGTGACCTGATCAACATGTGCTTATCACGGTGGCACAAAACGATGTGTTAATCCAAGGCCGAAGCAACAATGCATCGTACAAGAGTATGAGGGCAAAGGCCTTTGAACCCCGGCTGAGACAGCTGAGAGGAGCTTCGAGGAGCCGAGATGGCTGAGAGACGCTCTGCTGCTCCCATCCACCCTGCTCTAGGTGACCGTGAACCTGGTGGAGACTCTGCCTTGCAAGATGCTGACAGGCCGCCTCCAGGTCCGAGACCTGATAGGGACTCTTACTCCCCAATTTTCTTGTGCAATAGTATTGCAGATATTTTTCCGAGCGATTATTATTGTTATTGGGTTATTATAGGTTTGGACTGAACCTGCATCAGTGAAAACTCAGTGAACAGCAGTCACCTGTGTTGACTCACTGTCATTCCCTGGGGCTGGTGTTGCCTGTAGAGTAGGCGGCCCTATAAACCATAGCTCTGGTCCCCAACAAAGGCTGGAGGCTGCCCAGTAGATAGGAAAGACTGTAGTGTGGATACTCGTAAGTTAGAGTATCGCTGCCACCCCTGCTCTAACAGAGCCCACTGGGCCTCTATGGCCAAGAAGCTCTCGTGCCCCACCCTGACATGGCACTCTGGCCCCCCTGCTTCCCCACCCACCTGTTACCTCAAGAAAGAGGAAATACCACAGAAAAGCCTTTGTCTTCTTGGCTATTTTAACTTTCCTCAGGTGGAAACATGGTCAGAAAGGCTCGTTTCAATGAATGCCCCGTGTACAATTTAACTGTGCTTTAATTTGGATCACGCTAGGAAAAGGCCGTTTTGTGTCCTAAGAACACACTCTTACATATTACTTCCAGATCCAGCCAGAGCTTTGGGATGGTTATGCAGCTCATCTGTTCGAGCAACCTGGATCTCTTCCATGGCCAAGCTTTTGTAGTAAGATCTGCATTACAACTCAAGCAGTAATCAGGTCAAGTTCAAAGCTCTGTTTCTACAAATGCCTGTAGAACTGCTGGTCGTCTCCTTACAACTCTTACGTGGAGAGTATACTCACATTTAATGCCAGAGGGTAAAATCTTTTCTTTTTTGAATAGTGCTGTTTGATTTATCAAGGATAATCTATGACAATGCTAATTGTTTGCGATTTTGTTCTTGAAACACACGGAAAGGGGCAATGTTGCCCCCGTCGTAGGTGCATTCTCCACTTCTCCGCTAACCGCAGGTTGGGGCGACTCTGAAGACAGAGCAAGTTTCATTAAACAAGCAAACCCACCAACACCTTTAGCCTCACATCAAAATCAAAACAAGTAATCTCAACTTCTCTTTCAGCTGTCACATTCGGTTTCCTTCAATAGATAACGATTTTTTCTTAGGGTTAGGCAACACATTGAAACATTTTCACACTTCAGAGTATGGAAAATGTGATGTACTGCTAAGCTAATGTCTGCATAAAAAACACAAACTTAAAATGTGCTTGCAAAACTGTGCTTATAGTTTGTTTTTGTATGGGGATAAACCATGACTGTGACCAAATATGATAAACACTAAACATTTCACCTCCAAAAGGAACATTCCTGAAGAGGTGGATATGGTTAGAATAGATATTGGATTGCACCACAGGCTTAGATAAGCTGCCCAGCGTCAGGGCAGTCAGTTACACAGTTGAAGCAAAAGTCTGTTCTGGTAAACCCTCTGTACCAGGGCACTTTTTATCAGACTCAGTGAAAAGGGGAGACCGTAAAATATGTGCCTAACAAAACATGTCAGCAATCTGAATGGAGCAAACGAGTCCAGATCTGAGCATTCTAATAAATAAATGAAGCCGAGCATTGACGGCCAATGATCGTGTCACTGGGGCCGCAGAACGCTGGAGCCGCGCAGCTGGGAGGCGGGCGCGTGGAGCCAGGGGAGGCCCTGGACGGGGCCCAGGCTTTATTATTTATGGCGTGCTGATGAAGAGACAACTTTCCATATGAGGAACAGCTTAACAGAGGAACAGTCAAGCTGAACCAGGAAGAGAGCCAGGGAAAGAGCGAGAAACAAAAGGGGACATGAATAAAAATGACAGCTAATAAAACAATACAAATCTAAAATGCTGTAACTTTCAGAAATAATTTAGGGCCAGAGGAAAAGAAAAAAGAAATCTCATTTTGCTGGCCTTGCAACAATTTTCCAAGAAGCACAAGATATTAAGCAAAATGCATGTGCAGAATTTAAGACCTATTTGTCTCCGTGCCTTTCTCGCTGTTTGGTTGTTCCTAAAGCTGGATTTATTCATGAAAAGGGAAGTGGCATTTTCATTTGTATTTAGCTAATGTATCCATTTTTCAAGAAATATCTATTGAGCACTATTCCTCTGGGGTGACATGCTTAGCGAAGACACATTCCCTATCCTCAAGAGACCTATGACCTACTGTGGGCAGCAGGAAAGACCACGGTCAAGTTCAGGACATTGGCATAGGTACTGTGATGAGCTAGGCCAGGGCCACTGAACTGCATGGAGGAGCAGCCTCAGGGAGGAACCCCAGGCCCAAATGGACATGAATCAGTGAACTTCGCTTTCTATATCGATTAGACACTTACCAAACCGCCACATAATCCAAATCAGCTTAAGAATTAAAATACACTTTTTATACAAAGGTGAAGTATCTGTGGTTCTAGTAATTTCATCCTCACATTCTGGACTTGAGGCTCACCGCTTGCAGTGTTAAATGATTTTTCTATGGTGTAACAGACCTCTTTGTTCAAGTCTGACCAAAAGCACAGTAAGTATTAGCCACTAGTTGCTATGTGGCCCACCTGCGGTGGCCACTTCGTTTGTGTTGAATCATGCTTCAACTATGCCTGGAGGTGGGGTCATCACAGGCAATTTACAGACCAGGGACTGGAGCCGGAGGAAGGTGACTCTCTCCAGGGCTGGCAGAGTAGGCGTCACAGCTTCCACGCCTTGCTGTCCTTGGGTCCAGCAGGCAGGGTAGGACCGTGAGAACAACACGTCTGCACCCCAGGCAAGCGTATCTGTGAAGACCCACTGGCTTCACTGCTCCCAAAAGTTACTTCAGCTGAATCACTCCCTCTTCTCATTGCTTCCCACCACTCTCACTGAGACAGTGCTGCTACAGTAGTAAGGGCAGAAATTCCTTATCTTAGTTGACTTTGTAACACAGGGAAGTGTTTCTAGAAGCTGAGAACTGTAACAAACGTTTTAGAGGCTGGCAGGGGTGGCATGGGGCGGGGGGCACACTCCCCTCCCTCCCCCGCAGATCAATGCTCCAGTGAGCGCGGGATCCAGCCACAGCACTCACCCGGGAGCCGGTCACATCTCCTGACTTCTGTTCTCTGCAGCATTCCTAGCTCTCCACTTCTTTGCACAAATGGTCTGTACCCTAGTGGCCTGGCCCGTGCTGTAAGAACAGGCAGTGAGACACTGGCTAAGTGGGGGGGGTGGGGGTGTCTCTGTGACTCTGTGGCCTTCAGATTTTCCTCTAGTCCTCATACCATACACACCCCAGACCCACTCTTCTGCCGTTAGCCAACTGCTATTTCAGAAATATTGCTTAGTATCTGAGGACTGAGCAGTTTAATGCATTATTTTATACTTTCAATTCAAACAGTATTCTAGGTAGAGCCCAGATTTTAGTGTTTTTAAGACCAATCTTCCCCAAACAAACTAGGTAATGCACTGAATGGTAAAGCTGTTTCATAAATAACCCAGTTTTAAAAAGATCAAAGAGTGAAAGTCTAATCTCTCTCGGAACTCGGGTAGCATGTAATCAGTTGATAAACCACAGCAAAATTTTTCAGATGTTTCCATTCCTACCCTCTTATTTTCAAATCTGTAATAATTTGCAAAAAGCCAAAGACTGAATTTTCCCTTTTCGTAGCATTTGAGACAAAGCACGTTTATGAGCATTTGCTTGTAAAATTAGACATTAAAAATATGACTTAAGACCCATTAGCTTATCAATTACGATGCAGTTCTTCCTCTGTTTCAGTATCTTCCTTTAGAAAAATGTTGTGCTGATGTCCTGGCCGTGCTTCAGGCAAGCGGGCCGGCCACAAGCAACATGCTTTCATCTACAGGCTGAAATTTCAGTGGGATGAGTGTTCAAGTTCCATTTCAAGAAAATATTTTTGCAGCCAGGATGGCCAGGAACTTCAAACGGCAACTCTTCTGATTTGAGGTAATTTCCCAGGAATTTAAGAGGCAATCAGTTACTCTTGACTTCTGAAGAGAACCTGGGCTTGAACAGCACAGTTGTGTATAAAATTGATCATTTAGCAACAACCCACTGAAATTACTTGGGAGCAACTGAGACACCTAGACATCTGGACTGAACTATCTAGTTCACTTCCCAGGCTGTAAATTTTCTGGCCTGAAAATGACTTTTTAGCAAAAAAGTGAAATTTTTTATTAGCTGAAGTACTGCAAAATTTTTATTACTTTGATATGAAACTCTACAGTTGTGAAACTTACATCTAATCTTCAAGGCAATGTGCATTTAAGAAAAGAGAAATTTAGACCCTGGCCTGGTAGTTCAGCTGGTTATAACCTTGTCCCCGATACGCCAAGGTTATGGGTTTGATCTCCAGTCAGGGCACATATAAGAATCAAACAATGAATGCATGTAGAACAACAAATTGATGTTTCTCTCTCTCTAAAAATCAATAAATAAAAAATTTATAAAAACATTAAAAAGTAGAATTTAAAAAACTGAGTCTTGAAAATACAGATTTTAAATTATTTTAGATGAGAACCTTATTAAACACACTGCTCTACAAGATACTCAATTAAACAAGAGAATTTAAAAATAATATGGTTGAGACAAATAATTTTGTCGCCCCCAAATTTTCAATTTTGTTGACCTACGTAGACAGAAATTTTTGAACAAAAGGACACACGCACACTCAAACACATGTTTTTACTGGAAACTGTATCTGCAGAACAGCCTACAATCCTTTACATTTCAATCTCTAAATTCTGATCTCTTTATTTATTCTCAAAAAAAAATCTAAGACATGAACAGTTAGTATACAGAATTTTAAAATAAAACTGCGTACACTTAGAAAAATATGCATCATCAAGGGCATATAGTTCATAAGAAAATAAAATTATGTACAAAAATCACTTCTGCTTATTATTGCTGATCCCAGCTGGTTTGATTTTATCATGGAGGGCCACCACACAGCCCGAAGTTGGAGGGGAGGGTGGCACAGACTCCCTCCCCCTCCCGGGGCCCCAGCATTTCATTCCCCTGTGTCCCCGGGAAGCCCGACCGCCCCCTGGTGAGAGAAGGCCTTCAGAATCCTCCAGAGCCCGGGGGCGTCCTCGCAGTTGTGCCCCTGCTGCCAGTGCAGGAGGAGCTCTTCTTTCTTCCCAAGCGTCCGTGCACAGAGGACGCAGTGAAAGCCGGGCTGCGACTGGAGGGGAGCTGAGTGTGGGCTGGGACACGCAGGGCCCTGGGGGGCTTCTCCTGGCTCGCTGGGTCCTGGCTGGGCTCCTTCATCTTTTGTGATTGTTCCCTTGTCATTCTGACGATGAAGGCAGAGTTGCCTTCTCAATGTAGGGACCGCGTGCACTTCCTCGTCGGAGGGACGGGGCTTCTCCAGCAGTTTCCTTCTCTCAGGACGCTGCTTCCAGGAAGGAGCAGCGTGTCGGGCCAGTTCTTGCGCAGCTGCCTGGCTCCTGGGGGAGAGCTCCTCTTGCAGCCTGCCCTGAATTTCCTCTCCGTGGACGGAAAGTAAGTGAAACTTGATTTCGGCGAAAGTCTGGGCAGCGATCTGGCAGCGGCCACACTTAATCTGCAATTTGATTTCGTCTGCCTGGTTTAAGAGGAGGTCTTCTTCTGGGCTGGACTTGTCCCTGAAAAGGGGGAAAACATTCAATATAAAATTGCATGGAAAAAACAGCATTGGAACTTTTCCTTTTTTGAACTCTGAACCATCAAAGACCTATAACACAAGAAGTGTGCTGACAAGAAGCACAAAGCTGATGAGTAGACGGAGGGAGCCCAGGACGGCCTTCAGCAGGGGCCACAGGACCCCGACTGTCACTTTTGCCTGGGGCCAAACACTTCTCAAGCTACCAGGGGCCTTCAGGCATTGTCCCCAGGGGAGCCTACTAAGATTTGGTGACCGCAGGGACAGGCGGCATCGGCGAGGGTCAGGTGGCACCCAGGGAGGCACTCCAGGAACATGCTGGGTTTGGCTGACAGTACCCATCTCACACCACCCACTGTTGCCATCGCTAGCTAGCCTGGAGCACCAAACACCGTATGGACATTTTACCTAAAAATCAAAATGGAGTACAGTAAAATAATTTACTGTAGGGGCCAAAATAATTTTGGCAGGGGCCAAAAAATCTAGTGTGGGAAATGGTTCATCTCCACAGTGCTCAGGAGGATTCAGTTTAGTGAGACTCCCTGGCGACCTGGTGCTTGCGGATGGCTTGGCCCGTTTGTTTACCAGGCCGGCGAGCAGGACCTGCGAACCGGAGTCCTACAGCGGAAAGCTAATGTGGCCCAAAGGGAAAATGGGGCTAATGCAGAGGGTCTGAGGTCAGGACACCGCAGGGCCTGGTCGCACCCTGCTGCCAGCGTAGGTTATGTGTGGCATTCTGGGGCAAAGGATGCTGTTCATACAAAAATTCTGTGAATACTGTTTTGGGGAAACTATTTGTAAAGAGCACCAGGAACTATATACAATATTTCCTATTTCACATGTCAGATACAAAAATAATATGTCGCCTAATGGTCCCCAGCACATCTCAGGTAGACATTTGTGGCCTGGCTTCCAGGGGTTGGTGTCATTATAAATCATGACTGATCAGAAACCAATGACAAATGAGATTATTCTTCACAGAACTAGAGGAAAGAGGTAGCTGTCTCATAAAATCTTAGTCTGAGAGACGTCTTACAAAGTTATCTTTCTGACTATGAAATCTTAGCCTGTTGCCCCAATCCACACAGGCTGCCTCGCCACGCGTCCGTTCCTTGGCACTCACCTCTGCACAGCCACCTCTGTGTCTCTGCTCTTTGGTGCATCCCCCGGCAGCAGTTCGCCGGGGGAGGATTCGGTGCTGATGACAACCCTGTGCACTTCTTTCAGATGGCCAAAATAGACTCTGACGTGACCGAACACTTTTGCACAAAATTCACAGCACACGAGTTTCCTCGGGCGGTTCTCACTGTGGTGAAGTTTCACGTGTGAGCTCAGGCTGCCGGAACGGACGTATGTCTTGCGGCAGATCCGACAACTGTAAGGCCGCCGGTTCGTGTGTGTGTTCATGTGGTCTTGAAGGTGCTGCTTGAACTGGAAGTGGTGGTTACAGACAGGACATCTGTGCCACGGCTTCTTTATGCCAGAGAATCCACTTCTGAATGCAGAGCTGGGCTTAGGGGAAGAAGAGCTGTTGTCTTGCTTGCAGCTGAGATATTTAGGAGTGAGAGAATCACTTAACAAAATGTCCTGTCCTGGGCCGCTGGGCCTTTGGGACTGTGGCACAGCCGCAGGAGAAGCCAGAGGAGTCACAGCGGGCGTGACGACGACTGGTTTGGGCATAATGCTACGGTATTTTTTCATAGCCCCAGCTTTTTGGTCTCTGGATTGTTGGGGATCATTTTTTATCCTTTTACATTTCCTCTTTTCCTCCTGAAATGACAAAATCTCATCTGGTACCTTCAGTTTTCTTCCTTTTCTTTTTGCTGCCCCACCATTCAGTTTTGGTTTGTGGTTGAGATCCAGTTTGGTGGCTGAACAAAAGGCACTTTCACAGGGACTCTGCTTCGACACCTGCAGACTAGGCACCTTCGTGGCCATTTTGGCAGTTGCATCAAAGCCTTCTGCGATGGTGGATGTCTTATCACAGTCCGCCCTGAGCCCAGGTAAAGAAAGGTCTACAGTGTGAACAGCTGACTCATTTTTATAAGCCTCTGTTGTTTTCATTCTAGAGTAGGGCAAGATTGGCAGTTTCCCTTTGGGGGCCGAGGGCACCAACTGAAGCGCACTGCCAAAAATGGCTGGTGATAATCTAATTGTGCTTTTTGCAAGATCAACTTGTTCTTTATGTTTTTCACTGGCAACAACAGAAGGTTTACTGGATGTTTCTTTGCTTGCAAAGTTTTCTTTCCCTGAAATCTTCAAGAAGCCCCGCTTGGCAGAGGGCTGCTCTGGCGTGGATAATGCTGGGGTGTCAGGCCGGTCCAGCTGCCCATGGTCATTGGTCAGTGTGGCCGCACTGAGGCCGGCCGGGGCCGGGTTCAGCGACAGCGCTGGATCGGGTGGGCTGGGACGGGGCTGGGGTTCGGAATGGTCAAGGAGGGAAGGGGACGTTTGGGTTTGGACTGGAGGTTTGCTACAGCTGTTCTCAGAGGAGCTCCGGATGGAGTTCTTGGTCGATCCTTTGTTATTTCTTGGGGGTTGGTATCGAGGAATCGGCAGTTTAAGGTTTTGGGGCAGGGACAGTCTGCGTTTCTGGACTGGCTGAGCTGAGGCAACATGAGGCAATGCCACGAGAGAAAAAGTCCCCTCCGGGCCAGTGACCTGCATCAGAGCATAATTCTGGGTGGGCACCCCCAGCGGTGTGGAGCTGACGGGAGGGCCTGGAGTCACCTGATCGGAGAGTGATGGCGAGTGGCCCGACAGCACTCTGGACGTTAGGACCTTGGGAACAATTTTCGGTGCAATGGTCCTAAACTGACTCTTATTTTGCAAACCTTTGCCACTCTGTATTGTTCCAGAAGGCATGACCGATTCACCTGCAATGACATTACAATGTAAAAGTCACCTTGATATAATTGTGCTGTTGTTGAGAATGGACATTAAGCATCTCATCATTTACTCTGCCTAGAAGGCATTCCTAGACCCACCCCAAGCTCCTGCGTTCTTCAGCGTCCAGTGTGAAGGTCGGCGCCTGCCTACCTTTCCCAAGGATCAATTGTCAGCCTCCTCTAGAGTTCCACAGTTCCTGCATAAATAACGTTTGCCACTTCTCATATTAATTTATCTGTGTTTGTGTCTCTACTACTAAACAGAGCTTCTTGAGAGCTGGGACTCTGTCCTGCTCAGCTTTACTCACTAAGACTTTACTCACTAAGTCCATCCCCTTACCCGAACTCCCACGCGTCTTTACAGGCTGCGCCCCCCCCCCCCGTCCTGCCCTCCTGAGCTGGCCATCCCTCTGGTCTGTTCTACTGTGTATTTAACTTACTTTATATACATGTCTTGTTGTTCCTATAAAGCTTAAGCTTTGTGAGGGTGAAGCTGAAATTTAATTCATCTTGATATTTCCCCCTGTATCGTCAGTATGAAACAAATGTTTCTTGTATCACACTCACTTTTCACTGACTTTCAGGACACACCATTTGACCCCTTGGCAGTGCGATTGGTTTTGCACAGTGGATGAATTCCAGACTGAATGCTGGCTTTGTTGCTATTTCCCCATGTGACTTGTGAATTTCTTCTCACACCTTTCAAACTGTTTATGTGTGCTTTTGCAATTAAATCACCAGTATTAAAAAAGCTGATTTGACACCTTAAAAAATGTTGAAGAAAAACAAAAAGATAGAAAGTGATAGGTGAAGATACAGAGACAACATAAAAAACACACAAACGCACACAAAAAGCGCCTCCTGGGGCACTTAGGAACAGTTTTAACTAACAGACTAGCACTTCATCCTGCCCAGTTTATTACAATTGAAGACCAATTCCTACTACTCTAAGAAAACAACTCAGGAAACATGTCACTGAGGTGCTTCTACGGATGGAATCATCTGTTTTGCTCCTGAGGCCTCAGGGTTGTGAGGCCCCCCTGCAGAGAAACCTCCCATTCCCAACTGCCCCATTTTAGGCAGACGTCGCCCCAACTCACAGGGGCTGGGTCCCTACGCGAGTCTGGGGCGTGGCCACGACAGGCCCACAATCCCTTTTCTAAATCTTAGGGGCACAGAATATCTTGGAATTTCTGCTTACTAATTTTTAAAAAGCCATGAGATGCACACACTAAATGTTAAATAATACCCAACAGAGTCTGCAGAGCACCCCAAATTAAGCCTTTTACCACTTCTGTAGCAAAATATATAAATGCGTATTCACAAAAGTGGGACAAAGAGTTCTAAATAGTTTTAGTTCAGATTTTGCCTCTGGATGAGTTTTGGTACCAACTTTTGATAACGTTTTTTGTTTTCAGGGCTTTTGGATTTTGCACTTCTGAACGGAGGTGTAAAGAATTACATGTTTAAGGTTACCAAGGATCAAAGATGAACAGATAGTTTCTGCCCTAGGTAGCTGGAATCTAGTGAGAGAGACAATTAAAACATTTTAAAAAAATCAACCTTGATTTTAATGCCTTCAGCTACTGAACAAACAATTTTAGCACAAAGTTGCTTTTTTTTTTTCCAGTGAAAATGACACTCCTCACGTGAACAAATCACAGAGTAATAGGAATAAGAAATGTGTACTGATCGACTTTATAAAGTGATCACTGTCTGGGGAAGAAAGAGAATGTTAAAAGCACACTTTGCACGGGGACTTGCATTAGAACAAGAAGAGAAACCACCAGTGAGGTCTGGAAAACCCACACAAGGGTAATTCAGCAGCCTGTTTTTCTTTCTAGCTTTGCTGCCACGAAGTTCATGGGTAAACTGATTAGTCAATCGCCTGGCCACAGTCACCTAAGTGGATGCGCGACGTTTGCTTCTTCTTCCAATGTAAGTTATTTGTTTTTTAGTGTTATTTTCAGTGCCTTGAAAGTTAAATAAATGTCTTCCATTTCAAACCCCACGTCATCTTTTTTGGAAGAGGTACTGAAGTTATAAATAAGTATGTTACATTGGGATTGTGAGGTTTTGCAAAAAGATTAAAGTTATTGATAGTTTTGGTTACCCAGAGACAAGGCTTGTTACAAAATTACATTAACAACAATGATAAGTCCTTGCATTTACACAACAGGCCAGGGTGAGGAAGGAAAGAAGAGAAAGCACTGGGTCGTTTATATCTAGTTCGTACTCTTAATTGATTGAGCACAAAATATTTACAGCCAAGAAGAGCTAGAAGAAAGGCTACTTCGTCCTTAGTCATAAATCTTGAAATAACATGTGACGATAATACATCAAAGCGTAAGCCGCATCACCTCACTTGACTGCCCCTAACCGTGCACTGGCTCTTCATCTCAGAGCCAGAGCCAGAGTCCCTGCAGAGGCCAACAAGGCCTCCTGCCATCTGGCTCCTGGGGACCTCTCTAATTATTCCCTCCTCTCCAGCCACGGTCACTTCTTTGCTGTTCCCTCACTGTGCCACGCACTCATTTCCTCAGTCTCTGCACCTGCTGCCTCGGGGAGGTCTTCTCTGACCACCTGATTTGAAACTTACCTGTGTTCTGAACTCCCTGCCCCTCCATTTCAGTGTCCGCGGCACGCTAGTTCCACCCTAGGACTGCATTACCGGCTCTGCGCCCCCGACAGGGCGTTCCTCGGGGGCAGGGAGCTGGCTCACGTCTTCAGGGCCAAGAACAGTGTTGGGCACATGGTAGAAATGTAATAATTCTTTGTTGAATTTGTAAGTGGTAATAAAATGATTAATGGTTGAAATAAAGGTATTACAGACTGAATGTAAAACATCTTCTAAAAAAATTACTTAAAAGCAAACTTTAACACTTCCAAATGTTGAAAATTTTAAAAAAGAAATGAGGCTATATCTCTGAAATGTTGCTGTTGTTTGTTGTTTTAACTAAATTACACTTGCTGCCAGAATAAGAAAATGGGTTAGTACCATGATAAAATCCTTTAAAATCAAGAAGTGGGTGAGGCCAACCGACTAACCATGAGGAAATGAGAGAGAACAGTAAATTATGCTGCTGGGATACGAACTAAAATAGTCAAAGAAGTAAGCAAGCTCTGAAGAAAAAACTGCATTTAAAAAAACAGACAGAGAGAGAAAAGGGGGGGATGAGAGTGTAGAAAGCAGAATCAACTAGAAATGGAAAAACTGAACCTCAGAGGCAGCGGATAGTAATGTCAACACAGAGAGGAGCAGAAATAACAAAGAACAGGAGATGCAGCTGAAGCAACAACCAGTGGTCGAGGTCAACTCAAAGTCTCTGAAGACTTGCGTTGGGCAGGGCCTTCCTCCTTTTTATGACCAAGTGTAAGAAAGCAAGTGACCTCCTGACAGGTAAGGTTTCCAGAAATGAGCCATTCCAAAGCGGGTGAGCTAATTATGATGTTTTCAAAGTTAATATGCTTTCATTGATCTTCCAAAGTTTCCACATTATAATGGAAAAAATATCATACAGGAAGAGTAATGATATTCGAAGGAAAAGGAGGCAGTCGTGGTCAGGTGTGGAAGCAAAGGACACCTTCCAGGGTGATCAGCAGTCCCAGCAAGGGAGAGTACTGACCAGTGAGCCGCATGGGCAACTTGAAAGGACAGAGTCCTAGGTGACAGATATGGGGCCTAACGGTTAGTTCCCGGCAATTCGAGAGGCGGATACAAGGGTAGACAAGTTTATCAGTTGGCTCCGGGATCAATGATCATAAGCTAACCACAAGAAATCTGTGGGGTAAAAAGATAAGGGTTTATTGGGTAAATTTAACTTACGCAGGTTTAGCTGGATCTGTCAGAAGTACATGCAAGAGCGAGGGTCTTCGTGAAGGTGTGTTGAGTCTCATTTCCCGGAATCCATAGGGAGTAAGTGATAGGAAGTGAAACTGATGCATTAGAAGAAACGCAAGATAGGAGGAAGAGGGCAAAGCCACAAAAATAGGAGGAAAACAAAACTGAACTGCAGGAATCGGTGCATGTCTAGCACAGGGTATTAACAGAATAATCACCCAACCATACAATGTAGTGCTATGCAGCAGTAAAAAAGTAAATGATTTAGGCTGATATAAAATACTCTCCAAGGTGTGCCATTTATAATATGCTGTCACTTGGATTTTAAAAAGACTGTGAGATACACACACGCCAACATATATTCCTGTATATGCACAGGATATGAAAAGAAAGAAAAGAAACCAGTACTGGGTGGCCTTTGGGGTGGGGACCCTGGGAGAGCTAAGAGGTCAGGATGAGACAGGTACTTATTTTGCACCGAATACTTTTTGTGCCTGGCATACAGGAGGTGCTTACAAATATTTGTTGAATGGATGAAAGGAGAATGAAAGTTCCCCTATCTGAATCTATTTTTAGAAAGCATATCTCTCAGGACCGAACTTTTCAGCTGGTGATCCGCAAACATCTGTAAAACACGCAGTACCTGCCTACTCGGTCAGGGGCACCGACCTCTTTTCCCTGAGATGGCCAAACAAAAAAAATGACAGCAGCCAACACAACAATGGCCATCTGGTATGAACGGATCATAATCACACGTATATATTTTTGTCAGATTGGCAAAAAATATGTATTTTTGGTGTGCCACAGAATTTTAGCACTTAGTTTATGTGTGCCATGAGATGAAAAAGGTTGAAAACCGTTTCAGGATATTCATGATGGGTAAGTGTGTAGGCAGGAACAAACAACTATGTCTGGATTACACACAGACAGTGTCTCATGTTTTTTAGTTTCCTTGCCCACTCAGTCACAGGAATTGCTAGTGACAAGGGCACTGATCTAATGATCTGACAGGCAGCACAAAGCCACCCCCAAAAGTCAGGACCGAGGAGTGTCAGAGCTCATTTACCTCCCAGGACAACTGGGGTCCGGAAAAGTGTAGCCCCAGACACTTGGCTCTTCAGGACGAAACGAGGCAATCTGCAGTGAA